AACTCGGCTTCCCAAAGTGCTGAGATTACTGGAGTAAGCCACTGCATCCGGCCTCAGTTATTATTTTTAATTAAATGTTTCAACTTCTAGCAACATGGCATAACAGAATTTCCAAGCAACATACCTGCTACACTACAACAATATCTTGGATACTTGAAGAAGCATAATATAAAGATTTAGAAGTATCTAAGAAAGCATAGAAAATTTATGAGGGTCAAGATATTTATAAAACATAGTAAACAAAAAAATCTGAACTCTGAGTATTAAGTAAATAGGAAATTCAGAGTTGTATTGAGACAAATATCCATAAATATACTGAAATCTATACAATAAGAGGAACCAGGCTAGGCGCAGTAGCTCATGCCTGTAATCCCAGCTCTTTGAGAGGCCAAGGCAATAGGATCACTTGAGCCCAGGAGTTAAAGGCTTGCCTGCACAACATAGGAAGACCTCATCTCTATAAAAAATTAAAAAACTAGCCAGGTATGGTGGTACATGCCTGTAGTCCCAGCTACTTGGAGGGCTGAGATGGGAAGGCTGCTTGAGCCCAGCAGGTTGAGGCTGCAGTGAGCAGTGATTGTGCACTGCACTCCAGGCTAGGCAATGAAGTGAGACGCTGTCTCAAAAACAAACAAACAAAGAATAAGAGGAGCTAAACTGAAGCTCCAGCATTATGTCTAAGAAAAGATGTATAAGAAGTTTATGAAAAAAAAATTGTTAAAGTTTATCAAATGGTGTAAAATACTGCTAAATGAGAGATACTATGTATAAATAGAAAGACAAAATATAATAAAAATATCAATTCTTCTCAATTTGATCTGAGTCAATATAATACAAATCAAAATCCCAGCAGACATGTTCCTGGATAATTATATGCTGAATCTAAAATTTAGATAAACGGTAAGAGTTTAAGAATACTCAAGATTATTCTGAAGAAGAATATAGTGAGGGACTTAGCCTATGTATTTAGTCTGTTCTCACACGGCTAATAAAGACATACCCCAGACTGGATAATTTATAAAGGAAAGAGGTGTAATTGACTCACAGTTCCACATGGCTGGTGATGCCTCACAATCATGGCGGAAGGCAAAGGAGGAGCAAAGTCACATTTTACATGGCAACAGGCAAGAGAACATGTGTAAGGGAATTCCCCTTTATAAAACCATCAGATCCTGAGGCTTTTTTTTTTTTTTTTTTTTT